AGCTTGGTCGGGAATCAACTCCCTATAAGCCTTCTCGGGTATATCACCTTCCTATCATAAGTACACTCATGTCCGGGTGTAGGACCTTTCTTACCACACAAGGATTCTTGACCGTCTTGAAACGCTGCATTTACTTGATTCTGACTAAAGCATTCTTGACCGTCTTGGGACTCGACACTTCTGAATTTTGCTTGCTTTAACTGTTCTCTCTTTTGTGGGTATACCTTTTTGATGTGTCAAAAGGGGGAGAAATATAGAAGTATTTAAATATAAATTTATACCCCTTCAGATTCAATCCTACCAACGTTCAAAGTATTATCATTTATGTTCATTTAATTTTTTTCTATATTTTTTATTATGGTTATCTTGCCTGGGTAAATAGTTTTAACTTTTCTTGTATATGGAAATTAGGGGTAGCTTACAAACCTCAACATTAGCCTATTATACTCAGAAGGAGCTTACAAACCTCATATTTCAATGTTGCTAAGAAAATCAAAATCATAGTTTTCTTGAAAATACTACTTAGGGTGGGTTCTCAGAACTCAACTATTGGACTATTAGACTTAGGAGGAGCTTACAAACATCATGCCCTGATGTTACTAAGAAAGCTAAATATATTTTAGGATTTCTTAGAAATAGAACTTAGGCGGAGCTTATAAAACTCAACCTTTGATCTATCAAGACTCAGAGAGAGCTTACAAACCTCATGCTCTGATATTGTCTAAGAAAAATTAAAATAACCCAAACATTGTCCTTTAAATACTTGTATTTGTCATCATCAAAATGGGGGAGATTGTTAGAACAAGATTTATTCATGATATATATCCTTAGTTTTGATGATAACACAAGTATTAAAAGAAGAATGGTGTTATCTAATGTGTGTTCAACTATCTAGTTTCTTATACTTAAAATATATATTTAGAATCTGATATGAAAGCATACATGAGTGAATCTGAGTTACATGTTTCTGATGACACAATCTAAAAGAACACTTGCTAAGTGTTGTCTGGTGGAGACTCTGAAGCTGAAGGCCTCAACACCAGAATAAGCAACACTTTGGTTTTACACTTGGTAATTGTATTGGCTTCTGAAAATTGTTTAGAAGCTGTAGCGAAGCTAAAGCAATCCTTACTACAGAAAGCAAGTTGTAGTGTCAAATCAGCTTGATAGCTAGAGTCTATTATCACAAGGCTCAAGAAGAGTTGATATGCATTACGGATAACCACTCTCAACGTCTCTATAGTACAAGATACTTCTGAAGACTCCATGGTTAAACAAATTACACAATGGATCAAAATCTTCTGTGCATCTATCCTCAACGTCTCTTGTACTATGGAGAAGAACAATGACATTTGATCAAGTTATCTCTCCCAACGGCTAGTTTAGTGAAATCGGCTATATAAGTAGCTGAAGGTTCTACTTGAATCTTCAACTAGGAATATAAATAAGAAGGAATGCCAAAGAAGATAGAGGTGTTTATCGCCTTTATCTGAATGAAGAAATAACAAGATCATCAATGACCAACACTACTGAATATGAAAAATCTTCTGTTAATTATTGTAAATTGTAAATAGCCTTAAAGTTTCCTAAACATTGAATATTCTGGAAATCTTGAGAGCTTAAGGTCGTTGTTAAGGTTATTACCCTGTACCTCTGATTTAAAATCAAGGGCACGATGTTCTCTTTTCTGTTGAACACGCTGTTCAACAGATAAAATTAAAAGTTTCATACTATATGTTTGAGCATCAAAGTCTCCAGTTGAAAAGCTTGAGCCAAGTAAGTCTCTTTCTGTGTGCTTGAGCATTGAAATTCCTGATCTGTGTTGATTAAGCAAGGTATGAGCAGAGAAGTCTTAGATGGTACATCTAAGTAGGGAAGTCTTCGATCGAAGATCTGACCAAAGAAAGTATTAGGCAATGTGTCTAAGCAGGAAAGTCTTAAACCAAGTGGTTTGAGCAAGGAAAGTCTTAAGATATGAGGATCTAATCAGGAAGTCTTGATCAGGTGCTAATTGAGTAGGGAAGTCTTAGACTGTGGGTCTGAGCAGTGGAAGTCTTATGCTTGAGTGCATAAGTAGTTTTAATTATGAGATTGGTTATAGTGGAAAATCTCTTGCGAGGCAAGGGGACTAAAGTACTCTCAGTTAGGAGAGGAACCATGATAAATCTACGGTGCTCTTTGTTCTGTTTACTCTACTTTTATATATTGTTCCGCTGCACGTATGTGTCGTGGTGAGAAATTGGGTATCAAGTTATTGATTAACTTGAATCACAAATCATTATTCCCCACCGATCTTTAATTTGTCCAAGGGAAGGGAAAAAGATCGAAACAATCCATGAGTATGCAATGCAATGCAAAGTTAGAGAATCTAAGCTTCGAGGGTCGGTTAAACTTAGGGAAGGTGTTAGCATCCTAAGCATCTGTAGTACTCTATAGGAACCTCTTGTTTTATATTTGTGTTATTGTTATTTGCTAAGGGTGAAATACCTGGGGGTTTATTTCTAAGTATGCTCGCCAAGAAATTGCATCTTATGCCTACGTATCTTGACGGAAATGGAATCAGAGCATTCATAGTTTCCCTCAACGAGGATGATGAACTCTTAACTATGGTCAAGGTTCTAGGGGGAGAAGGTTTGTTGATTGATTCTAGGAGAAGAGACAAGTTGTCATCTTAGGGAGAATACCCGACTTAACCATCACACGTGCGGAAGATGGTCTTTGCGTCGCATTGAGAGAAGGGATCTAACTCGGATTTAATCGACGAGTATGCTACATACCTCTCTCAAGAGAAAAAGATTCTACATCTTTCTCGATTATGTTATGGAGTAGGAGAATTATATCTCGACTATATGGATGAATCATGTCTAATTCTCTTGGGAGAATGGGAACTCAATCTGTAAGTGGTCTAAGTTGAAATCTAAAGGAAAGGTCTCCTAAAAGTTTGAGGATATATCCTAAGCTGATCAACCTGAATGGAGTCATGGATCAAGCGGAGGGGAAATGATGTAGATGAATAATGCAGTGCGTATAACTATAAAAAAAAGTCACACAAAGGTTCTTCCCTTGGACATGTAGCATGAGCTAGAATAAAGATTTAAGGACCATATCAAATAAAATAGGCAGTCGATACATGTGGTCGACCAAGGATGATCGTGAAGTTGAGGTAAAAAAAAAAGAAGAGGAAATTCTAGCCAAATGTTATCATGCGATAGGATCGAGATCAACGTCCACTCTTAATTCAGTTTAATCAAAAGTCAACTAGAATCGGAATACTCCAAGGGACACGTGAATCAAACCATACGAGTGTACCGACTTCTATAAAAATGGTAGATGAACAAATCATGATTAACTAACACTTGAATCCAAAAAATAATTAGAACACTAATTACCCCTAAAGACAAGTTTGAGTTAGTCCCTTAAATTTTAATTTAATCCCAATTGTAAATTTTAATTTAATTCCAAGTTTGAGTTAGGTAATAAATAACATAAGGTAAACTTCTTTTTTGTTTAAAAAATAAAAGAAAAGAGAGTTGGGCCTTATAAAAAACTTTTTAAAAAAAGAAACCAGGTCGGGTACCAATCCTGACCCGCCTGACCCACACCACAATGACCAAACATATCATTGCAAATAAAAAAACTACAAACTGCAAAGAACCCTAAATCAGAATCCTAAACCTCTCACTCCTCTTCGTTCCCTCTCTCATCTCCTTCGCCGCGATCTCGCACTCCTCCATAATAAGAACGGAATCTGCTACTCGCGATGTAACGTCAATAAACCAGCCGCCGCGCTTATCTAACATTAATCTCCTCATCCTTTTCTCAACTTCGAAGTACGCCAATGAATCCTTACGTAGATGCTCAAGTAATGAGAACCACGAACCAAAAATTGCACCCACAACCTACAACTCAGCTGATCCCTATGACGGCGGATTCAAAATTGGTTCGAATTGGGGTGAGCTACACTCTTAATTTCACATTTGTTTTCAATGGGTAATTTGGTTTCAAGTTCAGTTCATACATTAACTTAATCAATCATATTGCAGACAACAAAATGCACGGGACATACCCAGTTCAGAAACAGAGAGTTATCATACCTCTAAGCAGCTTCGACACAATATCACAGTTACGTCGACGTCTTTAACTGTAATTCTCCTCTATCATTACCCCTTCGTCAAACTCGAGTTGTAGCGTGTAGCTTTCCTGTTTGGTAACTCTGTGCGTGTATATTTCTCTTTGTGTATAATTTCTCTTTTTTTCAATCGTTTCTTTTTCGTGTATCCTCTTTTTATAGACTGATTTGCAATCAACCTTTCCTTCTTGAGATTATGCTGTCGGGTTTTATTTTGGAAAGGAAGTAATGACTGTCCAATTCGTATTTCCTTGCTGTGGATCTGTGACTTGAATGAGCTTTCCATTTTCCCTCTGACCTGTTTGGGGACAAGTTAAAGAACCTTCCTTTTTTGTTGGATTGTGTCTGGAACATGATTTCTTGGTGAATTGATGCTTTTGATTTTCATTTATGTTGTGTCTCTCTTTCTGAATTATTGTTGCTGCTTGTAATTGAGTAACAAACTATGGTTATTTTTGATGCGGGAAAAGGGTGGTTTACGCCACTTCAAAAAATAAAGTTGGATGGGCAAACAAACACAATCTGGTATCCCTATTGTGCATAACGGCTTGAAAGTCATATTTTCTGGTGAGTGTTATGCAATTATCAGGTTAAGCTCACTTGGTTATAATCAAATCAAGTTAGGCTAGTGAATTCCATAGAAAAACGTTTTGAAGCTTTGAAATGATGTGCAAATATTTGCTAGTTTGGATGTTATGATGAAGGTTTAATTTTCTTGTCATGATTTTCCTTGTAGGTCTTGAGTATTCATTTAAGAAAACTGCTCCTTTAAACTGTGGGGATTTAAGGCAGGATAGCCGTGGCTTCTGCTGACCTGGTTCAAGTGATTAGGTTGAAAGATCCGGGAGGAGCAAGCTGCTCATTGTTTACTATGTTTTATGTTGGAGGATTTATTGAACTAACTTGTGGTAAGCCCAAATCTATGATATTAGATTCCACAGAGTACTCTTTTTAGTGGATACTTCTTGGCTGCGGGTAGCATCAACAGTTCCTTCTCTTGAAGGATAAGTACAAATTCACTTGACTTTGTTCAACTACAATGGCTGCTAGAAGCATGCAAGGGATTTACATTCTGTGCACTCTGGTTGCTGCTTTATCCTGGAGCAAGCTGTGTTCTGTCCTGTTCAGAGATGGATAACTATGTAACACCTTGGCTTATACCATGCTTATTCTGTGCATCTTTTTCCATAAGGCTAGAAGATCCTGGCCTATACTTCCAATCAGAATATATTTCTGCATTACCCGACCAAATATCTGTTGTGCCTAACGACTGGGAACCATGGCGTGTGTCTTGACAGCTTTGGTGTATACCAACTCCTCATAAGCTGGTTTTGATTTGTTTGTATGCTCTGTTGTGTAGCTTTCAAAATATTTGTAAAGAATATATGGACTTGAAATTAATGTGAACCTTGTGAACCACCTCTCATTTTGTAAATCTTGAATTTTTGAAAGGTGAAATAATATTAATTTGAATCTCCATGCTTAATCTTTTAATGAATCCTCTTATACTTGGAATCATCTTGAACTTGGCCTAAAATTGTGAAATTTCAATTCTTGTATTTTGGAGTTGTTCTTTTTGAATTTATATCATAGATTGGCCTATAACCATATTGAGCTTGTCTTGTAGAACAAATGGATCTTGAATCTCTTAGAACCAACAAAAATCTATTTTAAAACAATAACTTGGATTTGAACTCTTAAAGGAATTGCACTCTAAAATTTGAATATTGCTTTAGATCACTATGGATGGGAATGGTCTTGAAATCTAATTTGGTTTTGAAATGTATCCTTGATGTGGATTTGGAAACTATGTCATGAATTGTATATTATGGTGTTTTGTAAAGGACACTTTGAATTCGTGAATCCTTATGATAGACATTGTAGTGAAGCTGCTAAGACTTGCGAATCTTTTTGTCATATTTTCCAATTTTGAAGTAGAATTGAATGGACCTTTGTATCTTGGATAAAAATGAACATCATTAATTTGAAGTAATCTTGAGCTAATCCAAGCTTACCTTGCAATACTGAATCTTAAAGTTAAAACTTGATGTGAACCACATAAGACCTATTTGTAAATTTAACTCTTGAATATTGAATTCTTATGGCGAGATTTGAATCATTCTTCTTATCCAGAAACTCTTGAACATTGCAACTTGAACGAATTCAATCTTAGTACTTTAAAGCATACTAATCATAAACTATCAAGGAAGTCCACATCCCTTCTCCTAAGGAACTCAAACCATGATGCAAAACCTTGTTGGAGCCTTATTATCCTCATAGTTAAAGATTGTATTTGATACGAGAATCATGCTTCGAGGAATCCTTGTGATGCAACTTGCTAGGAAAGCCCTAAATAATCCTAACATGCTCATACTTAGCAACAAAATAAGAAGGAAACCTTGATTCTTCTTGGGGAATACGCTGAAGCTTCTGAAGAAAAAAAGAGGAGGAAAATGACCAGTAGAAAATCTTAGGATCTTTTGAATTAGAATCCAATGGTCACGCCCTGAAATGCTTGCCTGTAAGGGTTTACACTTGAAATTACTGCACCTACGCAAACTGGTTAGTCACAATGAACACGCACCCAAAGCCTATATCTTGAATATGCTATGCAAGACGATGCACAAAGAGGTGGGATCTTAGGGTAAAAAATTAGGGTGTGACAGTATGATCAGATTCTGAACACAATTCAACTCTGTTCATGAAGGTGAGAAAATACTTAGAAGGGGGGGGGGGGGGGGTTGAATAAGTATGTAGAAAAAACTTAGTAATAAAAACTCAAGGATTTTTATCCTGATTCGTTGAACTCAACTACTCCAGTCCACCCTATCAAGAGTGATTTGCCTTTCTCAAACAAGGACTTAATCCACTATTAAATCAACTGATTACAATAGTAAGCACTAAGAACAACTGTTCAAAGTCTTCTCAAGAACTACTGATCCTAACTGGATCTTCTTAAGGTTCTTTTACAATCAAATGTAAGAATAATACAAGTGTTTAATTTTCTTCTAATAAATCTTTATCACAACTGTGATTTTTCACTTAAAATTAAGAACAATGAAATAAATTCAGCAAATGAGTATAAGTTGTATGAGAGCTTGTAATGAATTCTTTCAAGTATTTCGTCAACTGAAGAAGATGAATGGAGTCTTGCTTTTATAGGCACAAAGGTCCAAGTAGCTTTTCACGTTGAAGGCTGTGTACTAAAAAGGTCTGAGCCTTTTTGTCTTTGTCGCTACCGCGAAAATAAGGTGCCGGCAAAACAGAAGAGTCGCCACCTTTCGTTATTTATCCCTCAGAACGGGAAAGGAAACGATCGGAAAAACCTGACGAAAAGGTATAAGACAAGGTCATCGCAACCATGTCTGGGTTCAGGAGTCGGTTACGCAAAGGAAAGGTATTAGCACCCCTCACGTCCATCGTACTCGATGGGATCCACGCTTGTTGTGTTTATCTGACGGGCTTATTTAACTATCTACCTATCAAGGCTGGTCTAAAAAGAAAAGAAAGTGACTCGGCAAAGCGTCGCACTTTATGCCTACGTATTCTCATTAGAGAATGAGAAATCAGAGTCAACGTAGTTCGCCTAACTACGGGTGATGAGGGAAGGTGGCTCGCCAATACATCAGTATTGTGCCTACGTACTCTCAACAGATATGAGAGATCAGAGCTTACGTAGTTCGGGATAATATGGATTACGGGGATTCAGATTCATCTGTTTTATCGAGTAGGGTTAACAAACAGTTCCAGCAGTTTGGTGTACGCGGCTTGACCCTTGGAGACTTAGGCGTTACCGTTTGCGGTAGAACTAGGAGTTAACGACACTCTTTTCTTCAGAAAAGCTTCCTTTGGATTATGGGCCCACGAGGCAAAAAGGTTTGAAGTTTGTTTTCTGTTTTTTACGGAAGAACTGCTTTTTATGTTTGTCTGTAGTTTGTACAACACTAGAGACTATGACCTGAGAGCGAATGCGTCGCATATCGTCCAAAGGACGTATACTAAACATTCTAGACGATTGAGAGGAGGCCGCTCAATTATCATTACCCAAGTAGCTTAAGGCTCGTATCGCGCTCGTACTAACTTGCCTTTATTATGTTTTTTACTGTTGTTTAAGATGAGAAGAGAGAACAGGCTCTACTAAGGGGAGACTATCAAGTCCTAATGTTGTCATGCCAAGGATTCATCCTATGGTTAAAGTTTGAAACAGGGATCTCCTAGAAGTTATCAGGCATAGGTTTCAACCTAAAGTTCTAATCCTCACTTCCTTATCAAAGGAAGTGAGATTCCTAGGGGATCATGTCAATGATAAACAGAAACAGATAAAGCATAAGCTTAAACAGTAAAGAGTAAACGACTGTAAAATGCATGTAATGCAAGTGAGGGAGGAAATGTGTGTGGGGAATCAGCCTCTACAAGCTCGTCTCGACCTCAAGCCAGATATGAATAACTGCAATCATACAGGAAAGATAAAATGCCATCAAGCAAATCACAAACCACACAGGCAAGGGAGCAGAGCTCTACCGAATACCAGCAAGCAAAGCCATACAGTAAAAATACAAGCAGAGGGAGAAACTCAACCTCTAATGCAATCATGCTCCTAACTTAAAAGAATCTAAATATGAAATTATTCTAATGCATCAAGCAAATCAAACAAGTCATACCAATACAGTTGCACAGAAAGCAAACAGACAGGAAAGAAAGCAGATCAACAGCTTCTACAGCAAAGCAATCCTCTGACAGCAGTTCAGTCCTTAGTCTGTAACTGTTCTTCAAGGCTATCCTTCAATAGCAAGTATCAACTTGCTTCTTCAAGCTTTCAATGCACCAATCACAAGTGTCAACTTGTTCTTCATCTTCTGCAAGCTTAAGCTCTTTCTTCAATCTCAACTTGATCTTCTTCACACAAGTGTCAACTTGTTCTTCTTGATCTTCAAGCTTCAGCTCCAATGGCAGTCTTCAAACAAAGAGGAAGTGCAACCTCTAGCATCTTCAATCTTCTAACCAGGAACTCCATCCTCTAGCAAGGGAGAAAGATCCATCTAACAAGAGCAATATGGGATAGGGAAAAGCAAAGTGAAGACCAAAGGTCACCTCTAAGCACTCCACCATCAAAGAAAGGAACCCTCAAAGGTTCTACCAACTTGTGAAGAGCCACACATCCTACCAAAGGAGGGATGAGGCCTTCTCAAGGGGACCTTACATCACAGGGAGGAATGGAAGTGATCAACACCTCCCATGTTTCATGAAGGAAGAAAATCTATTCTAAGAGATCTCCCTAAAAACCCTAATCCTTAACCCCTAAACAAACTACACCAAAGGGAGAGAAATCTTCAAGTCCAAGCTCCACCATGCATTCCACAGCAGCCCACACAAGCCTTCATCATCATCCAAAATCAAGAGAAGCAAAACCCTAGTCTAAGGGAACTAATGAAGTCATTCTAGTTGAATTAGCAAGTTAGGATCACCTAAAACCTAGTAATAAAGTTAATTCTACCTAAAATACTAAAATCAATTATAAAATCCTACAAAAATAACTATGGGAACCTATGTCAATCATGACTCTACCATGTTAATTCCAAAGATCAAATCCTCAAATAAGACCTAGAAGTAAATTCTACACTACAAGGTACTAAATTTAAAGCCTACAAGGAAGCACCTAAAGTTTCAACCTAAAAACACCACCTAATTTCATCACAAAAATGTGAGAAAAATACTAAGGGAGCATACATGTCTAAGCTAATCACAAACAAAAAATCAAGCCAAAACTCATCACCAAATGCTCAAACTAAAATCATCAAATAGAGGTATCAACTATGGTAATTTTATTATCAAATAAAATGTAAAAAATGCACATAAAATGAAAATGCATGATTTTCCTAATATTTTTATTCAATAAAATTCTACATTCAATCATGAATCAGGGGGAAAAAACCTGGAATTAATTGACCTATTTTCCTATTTTTTATGAATTATTATCAAACTAATATGAAATGAAGAAATTAAAAGAAAAACAAAAGAAATTGATAAAGCCTGTGTGCCAAATAGCAATTACAATCAGTTCAGTTCCTTGGGTTGGGCCAGATGGGAGGTGTGAATATCAATCCAGTCTTAAGCTCATTCACTTCAATTAAATGAAACGGTGCGTATAAGCTTAAGTCAATAGTCAGACTTTTCAAACTCAATCGTGGCCATCTATTCCATGGACTTGGTCAAGCTTCAAAGATGATCCAACGCTCATAGTTCATCTTCCTCATTCAAACGCTCAGACTGGAGGGAAACCAGACGGTGGCCTGAG